TGTGTGTGTGTGTGTGTGTGTGTGTGTGTGTGTGTATGTATATATGTATGTATGTATGCATGTATATATATATATATATATAGTATGTATACACAAAGCATACCTTCATATATAGGAATATACATACACTATCGTTTCAGTAGCTCTGCTGGGCGGTACGCTTTTACATTGATTCATAATAGTTTTGTCATCTGTATTTCACGTGGAAACGTTCTGTGTGGTGATTTGCACATACTTGTATCAGTAAGTTATAGATATTCACCAATGTGTGGAAAGACTACCAAGACACTTCCTGGTGTCCCTTCATTGAATCGAGGTAAAACGAACACCCGAAGTTTATTTTACGTATAAGAAATACATACTAGTTGTACATAGATCAGTTAATCCTTACATATCAAAGCAAACGACACAACGGAGCATAGATTCGAAAGTACAATATAAGTTTGTAACCGGGAATCGACTAATTCAACATAGTTTGTATTTGTGTAGCTGTTTATACGTTTACTTGTGACTGTACTTTCAACCTTCGCGGTATCTTGTCAGCTAAATTGGAGGTTAAGAAATACCGGACCATAATGTGATCTTCTATTGTCAATAAAAGTTATCTCTTGTTATGAGGCTGACAGTCCGCCTGTTTTCTATCCCATAAATCGGCACTAATAACTCATCAAGTGAGTATATGTATCAAACCAATAGAAATGTGAACTCCTGGTACCTCAATAGTCTAAACACACTGCGGCGGCCGATGAGCAGTTTGGTTATACTAGTCATGTTCAACCGTGGCTTTCGGGCTGGCCAAATTTGCATACAGCGTGCTTGAGGATCCAGGTCGCTGCAACTAGTATTTCATGGCGGTGTAAGGGGGCCATCCCAGATCCACACTACATGAGATGTTTGTACCCGCAATGGACACTGTGAATGCTCAATCGAATAGAGTGCAGTCGTATTTGATTCTACACGTAGAAGTTTCCGAAGTCCCATTGTACTGCGTCAAAGACTGAAACAATTTTCACTGACAAGGTTTGGCCTGAGACCACACCCTCCGTGAGTTAGAAACGCGTAGAATGAACTCTGGCATTGCCCCACTCGAACGACTCAGATCAAATACTACAAAAGTGGGAACTATCGTGGCTGAGATACTGTCTCAACAAGTATGCGTGACAGATAAGATAGAATATGTGCCTTGACTACTCGTGTTAGATAGACAAAGACGAAATTCACATACCTGTGCGACATTGCCTTGCTCAGAACCCTATTGAAGAACAGCTTGACTGCAGTACAAACTATATGCCAATCACATTCACTTTGTACGATGCTAATAAACCCTTGCGGATCGTGTTTCTGGAAACCATGTATGCACACCGAGCTTTTCCAAACGTCCACATTCATGAATGCGCACCAGAAATAATATCTCAACCACATCCGCATAACACTTGAATTTTTTGCAGGCAGCCATAAACACTTTGCAGGTAGCCATATATAAGTATAAGTTGCAGGCAGCATAAAGATTTCGCTGTCAGTCTATGTGTTTTTTAAATGTAAAGAAGTGACTTCAATTGGTGTGGCATAATATACACTGAAATAAACTGAATAGCGCTTAGCAGTGGCAAAGTTTAGCACAAGCAAGAGGCACTCGAATCAGAACAGAAAGTATTCCAACGACAGTTTATTCACAAACAAGCTGCAGCGGTAGTGCACACACCGTTAATATATATATTTACAAGACGGTTGTATACACCTCCACTGAGCGTACTAGTGCGCTTTGCAATGGCAACCAATTCTAAAAGTAGCGCTCCAGGCAGCTACTGGTTCTCCTGGAAGTGGAGCAGCACAGCAGCAGAGACCTTGAAGATAAGACAAGCTGAACTCAACACAGCGGCGCGAACTCTGTCCTCCTATATACACACACCAGTGTCCCATCTTAGACCACAGCGATGTCTACAGAGGGGCGCATCTCTCCGCATGTCTTCATGACAGCGTGAATTCTGTGGTTTAGGAAGTCGTCAAACAACTTCTCGTCAGCAGACTTGTTCTCGTCAAGCACAGGTAGACATTGTTCCGTAAGGATGTAGTCGAAGCGAGGAGCCCATTTCCTGGAACCCAAGCGAGCGGTCACTGAACAGCTGTCTACCATGTACGCTACACCACGGGCGTGCATGAAGGGGTTGAGCGAGTCAACAGCCTCGATAACAGACTCATTAGCTACCTCAGAGTAGCAGTGTCCGCGGTCGAGCAGGGTGTCAATCTGGGCCATCATCATAGCACAGTACACACCAGCGGTCGTGGGGTTAACCACAAATGAACCGTCACGGGCAGCACGCACCTTGGCTCCAACCTTCCACGTCTCGGTCACATCAATCTTACACATAGGGAAGCGATCGTGACGGTCTCCGGCGTTGATGACAGACTTGATTTCGTTACCGCAGGCTACATCATCATAGCACTCCTCGACAATGTCGCGCGATGGGCCGTATGAGGCAGTGTACGCCTTCTTGAAGGCGACCTTGTCCTCATCAGATTTAATCAGGTGGTGGTACACCTGGTCAATACCACGGTGAGAGATGGTCTCAGTTAGAGGTCCAGTGATGCACTCGGAAGTCTGCTTGAATGCATCCTCCTTGGACATACCATCGGAAACGTACTTGCGGAAGAGACACTCAATCATACCGTGCACACCACCCAAGAGAATGCAGCGCTCTCCGAAGATATCGGACTTGAACTCGGAATCCATAGTTGTGTAGAAGGTGAAAGGAGACCCCAAAGCGACAGACCAGGCTAGCGCGATGTCAGTGGCCTTGCCATCAGCATCCTGCTCAACAGCGAAGGAAGCATTGATACCGGCTCCGTTAACGGACTTTCCCTGTTCATATAGACGACGCACAGAGGCACCAACACCCTTGGGAGCAACCATGATCACATTGGTGTCCTTGGGGAAAGAGTCACCGGTGTTCTTCAGATGTCCAAGAAGGAATCCGTGTGACAGACCTAGGGTGGCACCCTTCTTTAGGTTCTCAAATACCTTTGGGTACTCGTGGGCTACAGCGGCATCAGAGATAAGCAGACATACGAGATCAGACTCTCGGATGACGTCGTACATCTCACCTAATGTACCGTTTTCCTTTGAGAAACCAACCTCTTCGGCCAGCTTCATTGAACTGCTGCCCTCACGGAGACCAACTGTCACTGTGATGTCAGTTCCCTCGAGAGAGTCACGCAAGTTCTGTGCCTGGGCAGGTCCTTGTGAACCCCATCCGATCACTCCGATCTTCTTTACACCTCCGAAGGACTCTGTTAGCTTGGGGAATAGATCACGCCCTCCTTTGAGCACACGCTCATGTGTCTCTGCCATAGGCACATCCATAACATTGAATACTTCGGAATCCCACTTATCAGCACGTGGATCCTTTTTTACGGTCATAGGCGGAATGGCATAGTGGCGCATAGCACTTACCAGACCAGGGGCCGCAGCCTTGGCGGGCAGTGCGCGCGTAAGCGATCTAATAGAGGATAGCATATTTATAATTGTGATACTTTTCAAATCAGGAAGGAAAGCACCTACAGAAATAAATCAAATAAAACGACGTTGCTTCGGTGCTAGAAGTGTCGTATTGCTGACTGATTGTATGTCACCGTTATCCTTATATAAACTTGCAGATGTCCTCGCTCGTATAATTTCACAACTATGACCGGGGGTATGGACCAACAGCATTGTTTACCTTTTTTTAGTTTTTCACTTTGGCTGCTTGGCAGTTTGCCTTTCGATGTTCCACATAAAAAATATTAATAAAATGTAGTCAAAAGACTCAAAACAAGCGACGGATGCTGTCACAACAACAATAAAATATCGATCGATATTTTAAAAGTATATATTTACTCGCTAGTGACTGATGACAGTCTGTCAGACTGTCAGCTGCTCTGTCATAGCATTCATTTACAATTACGAACAGAATAATTTTAGTTTACGACATTTATTGTTTTAAATGTTCTGTACTCGTATTCCAAATTATAAATTCTCCGTGTTCTCATTTTTCCCCCAAGTTTTAGGAACTATTGTTTTGCGACAACCAAGAAGATATATAATTGCGTCAACTCTTTCTATAATAACGACGAGCAAAATAGATAAAACCAAACAATATCCAACGTGAACTTGAAAATATTGATGACAGAAATTGTCATGTGATTTTATTTCTCTCAAAAGGCAATTTGAGCCCTGATGTCAAATTCCGACAGTATTTAGCCTCTAAGCAAATCAAAATCAAAGCTTGACACAATGCGGTATTACCTTTTTGTGGGATCACAGTGGGAACCCGAATCGAATGTGATATTGTGGAGTCACAAACACTTCTTTCTGACTTTTTCCGTTTCGCTCTCGCTCTCGCGTGTGTTTGTGCGTGGGACTGGGCCGTGGGCGTGGGGAATATGATTTTGAGAATCATCACTCGGAATCTCGGGGTCGGGGGAAAGTTGAAAGCGAAAGAGACTATAAATAAACGATAATAATTCTAGCCAATGTAATCCCTCCATATTTTCTGTTTTTCTACTCCTTTTTGTTTCAGTTTTGAGTTTTTTGTAATAAAAAAACAAACAAGCCAACTAAATTCTAAAGGTTCGGACGATCGGACTTCGGTCCTTAATTCTCCAAATCCAAAATCAGCCCATAAATGATTTCACAACTTTTGGCGCCAAGAATCCAAAGTTTCCTTCATACTCCGGCAACCCGGTTAATCCGGTATCGATTTTTGAATATGCCAGGAGCGAGCGCAGCAAGTGACTTTTGATTAATTTGAGAGGGGAAAAGAAGGAAAAAGGAGGGCCATTTGGAGAGCGATGCCCTCCCTTGCTGTTCATCACAAATAAAGATATGAACTAATGACACACTGTGTAAAATATTTCTTATATTTATATAATGATATAAATACAAACATTAGAACACTGATATATGGTTATTTCACTGTCATCTGCTGCGCTTAGTTCCTGCAATATAGACTAGTTTGAGAATAGTAATATTAATACACAGTGCTGCCTTGTGCCTAGATTTTGTATATCACGATGGCCCTGTGGAACTGCAAGAATATAGCGACTATAATAGTGAAGAGACTACAAGCGTATGAATCATGTGAATCCGTATTCCCTATGGTGAGTATTATGTTAGTGAGCCGAAACCCTGTACGCATATGGCGGTACGTCATCAAGGATGCTAT